AATACATTCTTCCGAAACGTCTGATAAATTTATTTCAGTTTTCACGGCGTCATATAGTACTATCTAGTTTAACCTTACTTCGATACGTTAGAACATGTTGCCAGATGTCACTTTTTCAGACATCTTAATCTGCTAGCATTAGCCAGACGTTGCATTAAAATGCAAATGTCACTTCCGTCTCCTTGTGGGTCCTTGTCACTGGACCAGCCAGAGCCTCTGGTGTCAGCAGGTGCGCCGTGAACTCTGCAGGGGTGTAAGTTGTTTCAGTTGAGTTGTGTTTTTGTTCCTCACTGATCCGGACTCACGTGAGTACTGCCAGCTTGCACGGCATGACAGTTCACTGGGCTCCAAACCCGCTCCTTTCACTTATGTGTTTCGGAATATTCATAACTTGTACGCTTCTTCAAGTATAATTAGAATGATCAAGTCAAGGAGGATGAGATGGTCAGGGCATACAGCACGAATAAGGGAGAAAAGGAATGCATATAGGATATTGGTGGGGAAACCAGAAGGAAAGAGACCACTGGGAAGACCAAGGCGTAGGTGGGTGGACAATATTAGATCTTAGAGAGATAGGATGGGATGGAATGGATTGGATTGATTTGGCTCAGGATTGGAACCAGTGGAGGGCTCTTGTGAACACGGTAATGAAACTTCGGTTTCCATAAAATGCTGGGAAATTCTCGAGTAGCTGCAGAATTGGCTTCTCCTCCAGAAGGGCCCAGCTCCATAAGTGAGTAAGTTTCGGAATATTGTAGACACTATAAATGTTTATGTCATGATACTGACCTGCATTTTGGTGACGAGACAGCAACATATACTCAGTTTTCTGTGTTGGTCGTGCCATAGCTCAGGCGGTTAGTCACCAGCTTTCCATCTCAGCGGCTTGGTCAGGTCAGGTCATGTGGAATTTGTGGTGGACTAAGTGGTACTGGGGCATATTTTCTTCGAGTACTTCGGTTTCCCATGCCAATTCTCATTCCACCGACTGCTCCACACTCAGCATCTATCATCCGAGCCTGGTACAGTTTTTTTTATTGCTAGTGGGGTTGGACTAAGTCCCTTGTAATGCGGCCACTTCTGGCCTATTGTACCAGCCCCAGATGGTAGGTGAGGGTGATTGTGGAGCAGTTGGTGGAATGAAGATTGGCAAGGGAAACCGAAGTACTCGGAGAAAACCTGCCCCAGCGCCACTTTGTCCACCACAAATCCCACTTGACCAGACCCCGGGATCGAACCCGGGCCGCCGCAGTGGGAAGCCAGCGACTAACCGCTTGAGCTATGGCGCGGCCCAGCCTGGTACAGTAAGCCAATTAGTGGCCGAAGTACCAAGTTGACTCAGTCTCACCCCACCCCACTCACTCATGGAGCTGAGCCCTTCTTGAGAAGCCGCCAATTGTGCAGCTACTGAAGAACTTCCCAGAATTTTATGGAAAGTTTATTACCATGTTTAAACGAGCCCTCCACTGGTCCTTATCCTTAGCCAGATCACTTCAATCCATACCATCGCATTCTATTTCTCCAAGATCAATTTTAATATTGTACATCCACCTACGTCTTGGTCTTCATAGCGGTCTCCTTCCTTCTGGCTTTCCCACCAACATCCTACCCCAAGAAATTAAAAATTGAATTCTTTTCTGTTGATTTCTAGACCAACCTCGTTACTAATATCAGTTGCAGCGTTTGTGTTGTTCTTTATGGTGTTTATGGCATTTCCCAGTAGATTTTCATCGTGCACATAGACCAGAAGCTTGCGTGTCCCGTCTGATTTCCCAACACCCACCGAGTGGCGAGCTCTAAAGCAACGTTAAAGCATCTCCTTTTCAGGCCGTTCTGAATAGGAAACAAATCAAGCAAATGTTTACCTATACGGAAGTTAACATAGGTTTCATTTAAACACATTTTAATCAGCCTAAATAGTTTCATGGGTGACCCAAAGTAGGTGGTGATATTGCGCAATACTCCCTTCTTGTCGAGGTGCTGGAACCGGCGACGTAAAATCGAAGTAAGTCGAATTTTAAAAAATCGATTGGGATCAATAAAAATATAAATGGTTTAATCAATTTTATTGTCTCATTCAACCAGTACATGTTTCGGTCTAGTGAACTACCATCAGGTTCTGTGTAAATAAATATTATACATTATTATTGAATTTCAGAGTTAAATAGATCCATTTTTGTAATGAAAAATGTAATGAATTTTCTCATTAGGTGATAAAATATTAGTTACCGTTGTCTCTATTAAACTGTTAAAAGGTTAAAATAGGGCAGAGGAGTACAGTGAATACAATAGGGAAGCTGAAACACAAGTGTGGTGCAGGGGGGCGTATATGCACAATCAAGTAACGGCGGTAAGGCTCCGCACATTCTCAACCTACACATACCATCGACCATTTTACCGCTTGGTAAGACATCTGTTTATTCATTGCACAGAAGACTGGGTGTTTTGTTGAGTCGGTCTCAACGCTAAAGAGAAGCGAAAAATTATTGCCCCTTCAGTAGATCGAACACCGACCTTCCAGCTCTTAAGGTAATTACCTTGAATTATACCCTGTTTAATATTTACCACCACGCTATGAAGAGGTATTGATGAGTGGAGGCATAACTCCAAATATTCTTACATATCGACGCTAGAGTGAAGAGAGCTGTTAACTTCCCGCGTCTGCTTTTAACACCAGGGGAAAATTCCGACACCCCATTGGGTAAGAAGCTAGGCGGTTGTCCGGGACTCAAACCCCTTATCCCACTAACCACAGCCGAATCAGTTGTCTTCCGTATGTAGTGTAGAATGTTGCCGCTGTGTTGTACTTCTCGCTCGGAGCTAATAGTGTCCGTACAATATAACCGTAATTATCTATATAACTGTTTAAATTTAGAGTTATTTTATTTTGAATGTGATTTTCTGTAATCCACAACCTGACTTTCGTCTCATTAAAAGCGAACTTATTCCCGTCTGTAATATGCAAACATCAAAAGATTCCAAAACACCCTCCTCTTTTCTTGCATAAACCGTCCAAACACATCTCGCACCCCCCCCTCCCCACCTTCACTCACCTTTCCACCATTATCCAATGAATTAGTGGAAAACGCTCAGAGTCAAATGTAGGGGAACACCTAAAAACCGAACGAGAACGTTTCAAACGCAGTGAAATGTTCTTTCGTTTTGTGTTAGCTTCAAAGCATACGCACGAACGTTGCAATATTAATCAGGACTGGAATATTTACATACAGTATCACATAGGGATTTTGAAATTGTTTCTCAGATCGGAAGCCGCGGTTCTGTATGGGTGTGAAACTAGGTCTCTGATATTAAGGGAGGAATATAGACTGAGGGTGTAGGAGAACAGAGTGCTGAGGAGAATATTTGAACCGAAGAGGGATGAAGTGACAGGAGGTTGGAGAAAACTGCATAACGAGGAGCTTCATAACTTGTACTCTTCTCCAAGTATAATCAGAATGATCAAGTCAAGGAGGATGAGATAGGCAGGGAATGTAGCATGCATCTGAGCCAAAAGGTTTGTATACAGGGTTTCGGTGGGAAAGCCAGAAGGAAAGATATTACTGGAAAGACCTAAACGTAAATGGTAGGATAATATTAAAATGGGACCTTTTTTTCTTAAATTCGCTTAGTGGGTGGTGGAGTCCAACTGGGTCAACTTGGCACGGCGGTCACTTATTGGTCTATTGTAGCCTGCCGCGGGTGATTATGATGATGGAGAATTTAGTGGAATGAAGATTGGCAGGGGAAACCGAAGTACTCGGAGAAAACCCGCCCCAGCGCCACTTTGTCCACCACAAATCCCACTTGACCACACCCTGTGGGAAGCCAGCGACTAACCGCTTGAGCTATGGCGCGGCCCTAATGTCACATATAAATTTGCATATATTGTTGGAGTTTGAGTTGCGTTTTAGATGATACACCCTGTACAATAGCTATACCTACATCCATCCGTTTGACCCATCCCCTTTCTCCCACATGGCTAGTAGTAAAATGACAAAGACAAAAATGTTCCTCCGGGAATTGTTAATTTTGCTGTTACATGCATGGGTTCGAGTGCAAGTCAGTTTATTTCCGGATCCGTAAGAAAAGCGCTTGTGCCTTGAGGACACCGTTACCTTCGTGTATCTTACAGTAACCATGACGACGAATCGTGTTTACAGTCGATTTTGGCGTCATGTCTCCGCAGAACGTCATATGTCGTTTGAATTATGTTCTGAAGCAAGACTGTTACAGCAGACAAGCATCACGTAAGAGTAAGCATATTGAGATGGATGCTGCCTGCTTACCAGGCGTTCGCCACACTGCACACCGTCACATCTCAGGAAGCTCGTTACAGATTTTGCTCTACAGTACATATTAAGCATTCATAAACATGGCAGTATTGTGACGTATTTGCTCAAAGCAAGAGCTGTGGAGGCAGACAAACATCCGTTGCTAGGCAATTCCCGCACGAAACAATAAAGGTGTCACTATACGTGACGCGTACAGCCGTTTGCTATGGAGCGATTAGGTAAGCACGTACGCTGTGACATTACGCAACAATATAAACAGGGCTGCGGTCAGCGTTCTCTGTGGGTCAGCCCCGAGGCTATATGACTCGACCGACCTAGTCAGTTCAGCGAGTGAGGATCCCCGTGTGGAAGCGGGGTCGAATACCTCCACCGTGACCCTGCGAGTCGTAGGAGGCGACGAAAAGGGAAGTCTCAAATCTGAGACAATAAAACATGGTCGCGAGTCTCAAGGGACTCGGACCGGAGAAAGACTGTGCTGGCAAGGGGCAGCAGCATGTACAAAAGACAGACACGTCCTCTCGACAGAGAGGGCGCCCCACAAAAACAAGATAATAATTGTCAAACCATAATAAATATCTGGTCATGAGCCCCAGATGGGGCTGGACACCGAGACTTACTGACTGACTGACCGTCAGTCGCAATGTGACTTTGACTTTGAGTTCAGCGAGTGCAGCGCAGTTGAGGGTTCAGTTGTGGAGTGTTAACCGGCGGATAACGGAAGCTGAAGAATCTCCATAGCTAAGATCCGTTACCAGGAAACGTCTAGTGAAAACTTCGCAGTGAAATAGCAATTGTTGAGAGCGGTTAGCAAGTAAAGAGTAGTGAAAGTAAATTGAGAAGATATTGTGGAGTGATTTGAAATGTGAGAATAGCAACAGCGCCATAACTTCCTCTAGTTCCAAGTGGTGTACACAAGGCATCAATAAATCCACTTTATCCAATCCAGAACCCGTCTATAAGTCACGCACAAACCCCTACACGTGACGATATAAATATTACGGGCGTAGAAAGAAAAAAATACAGTTGATAAATCCGAAGTGTTTGTGTTTTGTGGTTTATTTTGTGACGTTAATTTTTAGACTATACGGCATCGAATGGTAAGATGACTGAAAAATTGGAAAAGATTTGGAATGAAGCTGAGATTCGAACCAAGATTCTCCAGGGTAGTAGTGTAGGGCGTTACCGCCACCAGCTTTCTCGATTAAGTACTACCTGTAAGTTCGAAATTTGTGTTCGGTGCATTTCTCCTGTGACAACACATGATGTATCGTTTAAAGTGCTTTCTGAAAGCAAGGCTGGTACAACACAGTGCTACAGGATTGAAACAAGAATTAAACACTAGTAGGCATGTTGAGACGGAATATGTGTAAAATAATTCCCTTTTTTCAGGAAAATCTGCCAAATTTATATACGTCCATATGATGTGGTAAGGACCATAACTGATTACAAAAACAAAACTAAGCCCCAACACAATCTTTGCTATACTTCTGCGTGTGTTCTCTTGAGGATGCTGTACCTGCTGTGATATAGGAAGAGAACTCTTCACAAGATGGCGGGCCGTCATTATGTACGAGAACACAATCACACACAGGGGGAGTATACAGGCCACTAGCAGTTCAAACACAACGACTTTTGTATAGTAATTTTGGCTGTCATAATGGCTGCAGTACATATCAGCATGCATTGAGAGTGCGGAAGGAAGGGCGAATACTGAAGCCACAATCCACACTCCACAAATGGCTGCCATAGTAACACGACACGTTGCTGGCGAAAACAAACGAATGTGTAGGGGATTCACCGTGACGTTGTATCGTTGGATGCTGAGCACAGCTACAGAGTACGCTGATAGGCCGACTGACAGACTGCGGGAAAATGCGAAAAACTTGCACAAAAACAGCCCTTGTTTCCAGCTGCCTGACATCAGATATGCATGATTGACAGGCAGATTCACTGTCAGCGTAATTATGTCGCTTACCGCGAGGTTAAGGATGTACATGTTGGCAACGGTTCGCATTTCTTTGTTGCATATTATGATGACGAGAAGGACCAAATTCCCAGTGAAGCCAAATATAAAAAGAACCACATGTACAGGTCCTTGCACGTACTTTATGAGTTTCATGTAATTTTCGTATTCGTTCATGTATGTATCATCAGTTTGATTGTATTTTATGTTGCTGTAGTCCCCGTGATAAGCTATGTGTCCCTGTGAGCACTGTGACCTCTGTAAGACAGCCCACCATAGCCCCTTCACTTCACTTGGGGCGTCACATACCGGCGCATCGGGACCAGACGCTGTTTCTATGTTACGAGCCTTGCACCGTCGCCACGTTTCCAGGAGCTGACAGTCACACTGGAGGGGGTTTCTATGTAGATAGAACGCGGATAGTTGTGGCAAAGAAACGAGAACATTTGTATCGATATCTCGAAGACAATTTGCGCTCAAGTCAAGTAATTTCAGTCCTGCCACCTTTGCAAACGTTTTCATCGAGATAGAAGTCACACTGCAGTTTTCCATAAAGAGACTTTTCAGAGAACGTGAGTTTATGAAATGACTATCCGTAGGAATTTCAAGCTGTTGATTGCTTCCCAGACTTAACAATTCTAGATTGGGTGAGTGTATGAACAATTCCGGATGTATGTATTTTATGTTATTTTCGTTCATGTGAAGATATTCCAGATCACTTAACCCCAAGAACGAATCTGGTTCCAAGTTCTCAATGACGTTGTACCCCAAGTAAAGTCTCTTTAGACAGGACATATTCCCAAAAGTTCGAGCTTTTATTTCACGTATCATATTACTCATTAATGACAGCTGTACCAAGAGAGTTAGCCCGTTGAGCGCACCTGGTTCAACTCCCACAATTCCACACTTGTCGATGCTAAGCGTCTCAAGGCGCGCCAGTCCGCTGGAGAGGAAAGCGTCCTTCTTTAAATAGGTGAGATTGTTGGAATCAAGCGTGAGCGATCTGGCGTCCTTGTGGAAAATAACGGGAATGTTGTCTAATGATGAATTGGTGCAGTCGATCTTGTCTCCTCCAGCACTGCACCAGCATCCATCTGGACACAGGAGTGTGAACCTAGCTGGCAGAATCACCAGCCATGCCCAGAATACCAGAGCTGGTGATGCCACCAACAGTGATATCAGCACTGCCTTCACCGTTGCTGGCATGGCGAAGTGAATAAACCTGCAAAGAGAGAATATAGAAGATTATGAACGCCGTCCATTGTGGTTGATACGTGTTGTGTTTTTTAATCTTTCATCCTTTACATGTATCTGTTGGAGCGACCATCTTCAGAAGGACATCATCAATACTTACAGCAATTACTGTTACAATGTCAATACTTTGTAAATAGACTAATTATAATAATTTATAAATGTTTTAACATATGCATGCACATCGTAGTCATTGTTATAGGATAATACGAGTATTTTATACCTATAACAGAGAGGTTGGACTTCGAGTCCTGGTAGGGTTAAGAATTTTGTCTTCTCCACGTCGTCCAAACCGGTTTTTGGTTTCACAGAGCTTCCTATTCAAAGAGTACCAAGGGATCTTTCCCTGGGGGTAAAGCGGCCGGGGCGTGAAGCTGACCACTCACCTCCAGCTAGTGCCGAGATCAAGAAATGTGGATCTATACATGGACTCCCCCATACGCCTTCAGGGCGTAGTGCTTAATTAGTTAAGTACATGGACAACTTTACCCTCTTATTCTGAAACTACCGCCTTAAAATAATTTACCGGAGGAATTGTATCAAGGAAAATGCTTGAACAACTCCGTAACGTATTCCAGGACCCGCTTCCTTCCTTGTTCATATTAATTCATTATCCATAACTATTTATTTTTATTGCTAGTGAGTGGGACTAAGTCCCTTGTACTGCAGCCAATTCTGGCCTATTGTACCAGCCCAAGATGATAGGCGAGGGTGATTGTGGGGCAATTGGTGGAATGAAGATTGGCAGGGGAAACCGAAGTACTCGGAGAAAACCTGCCCCAGCGCCACTTTGTCCACCACAAATCCCACTTGACCAGACCCGGGCCGCCGCGGTGGGAAGCCAGCGACTAACCGCTTGAGCTATGGCGCGGCCATCCAACTATACTTTCATTCGTTGTTGTAAAATGTTTAAGTTAAAATATGATCGTTTAATGAAGTAACAAGGAAACAGCACTGTGCGTTAGAACGTCTATGTGTGACACCGTCCGTCAGTAATGCAACAAATTGTTCCCTTTTCTTCCACTTACACCTTTAACACAACGTGTTTCGGCGTTAATGTATTAAGACACCTTAAGATGGCATTACTGACGGACTGTGTCGCACATAGACGTTTCAATATGGCTTGCAACAGGATGCTTAAATACATAAATATTGTACGTGTTACAAATACATTACAAATATTGAAAACAGAGACAGAAATTCGTTCGTTATCAATACGTGTTAGAACAGAAAAGTGTTTATCTTTCGTGCGAGTTCTGTGTTTGTTTATATAATTGAAGGTCATAAAGAAAAAGGAAGTTGTTAATTAGAGGTAATCTGACGAGCGAGGAAACTGACTCTATGAATTTCCTGTACTGAGAACGGTGACAAAGGGCCCTGTTCTCTCTGACATTTAAACATGAATACGTCACACCTTGCACGCAGCACTGAGTTCTGAAGCAGAATTCATATTTTTGCCCCCCACCATGTATTCAGATCCATCTCCGCCATTGCACTGGTACCCTGTCAGGGGTGTACACAGGAAATGACCAGTTTGGTACTGAGCTATGGGATCTCTTCATCTGTCTGAGAATGTGTGTCACTTTCCCTTGTAATTCCAGGCGATTTCTAGAAAAGTGTCTGCAGGCATATCAAGAAGGCTTCGACACGCATTCATTCCAACGCATTTAGTGGTATAAATTCTGTATTTGATGCAGTGTCGTAAAATAATCTGGAGATTAAGTGCTGTTGGAACTTAAATATTTGATCCATTCACATATCACTTATTTTTTCAACCTCATAGGCGTATTGTTATTATTATTTAGGGACAGGCCTGCTGTCTTCTTCATGATCACAAATTTCATAGATTGCATCCTGTGTGTAATATCTTATGGTTATGACAGTCAACACAGCAACAAAAGCGAAAATATCTTCGGGCGAAGACAAAAACATCTATTTTTGTCTTCACCCCAAGATATTTCCGCGCCTATTGTTGCTTTTGACGATCATAACCATGAGATAATATCATAAATATCAGTACTATTGTTATTATCATTATAATCCGCGATATGTAGGTATTATTCTAATTTTTAGCAGTAACAATGAGTCTGCTGACCAAGGCTTTCGACTTTTCTGACTGTCTCTGCCGGAAAACACTGGGCTGTCGCCTTACAATAAACGGTGACCACTTCCACGTCTGCCCCCTTTCATCACGTATGTTCTCACTGTCTTTTGATTCTGTTTAACCGAAGCAGTTGTCAAAACGCTTTAAAACTCACCAAGAAACATGAAAACAAACACTCGCAGAGATTGTGATGTCTATCCCAAACGTTGTAATTGTCGCTGCACAATTGAAATGCTATATGAACCGTTAAAACTGAGTAGTACCACGTGCTTTATCTGCCAAGTAGCGGAACTTCGTGGGGGCAATCTTATCCCGCACTGACCACAAAATAATTCTGTTTAATTAGTGCAACCTGCAGTGCGCGTAGTGTGCATTGTTATCTTAAGAGCTAACAGTTCACCAAACCGTCCAGTGAATGCCAACGTACCAGTCGCGGCTGCAGCATTCACAGCCTCCTATCGCCCGNCTCCCCCCCCCCCCAAAAAAAAGAAAATGCATGTAGGATAGTTCGGAAATCCTTCAGATATGTCAACATCAGTTGCAGATGCGAGTTACACCCGCAAATAAGTTCACAGCAGATTATATTCGAGGATTTGAAAACAAGTAAATATATAATATTTATCTAATATCCATTTAGAATTCAACTGGCTTCTCTCATCATACGTCACATAAGATTCTATACTCTTCACTTCCCTTGTTTTCTCTCATGTGGGCCGACATTTAGCGCCATCTTCCACGAATAACACGCACAGATAATCGTAAACCCTCTTCTTTATATCCAGAGTGGCCCAAAATTAAGTTAACCTAACACATTCTCACGTATTAACGTATTAACTATAATACTTAGAATTTGATTTGTTTCATTCTGGTCCGTTACACTAATATTATGGAAAAGTTAAGTAGTTCCGTTCAGTGAGACTGGTTAAGATTTTCGTATTTCAATTACTCATACCCTTACACGTTTCGGTCTTCAGAGACCATCTTCAGAGGGACACCTTACAGCAATACAGTTAGAAGCCACTATTACAGTAGGTGTTCAAAATACATACATACAATATAAATAATATACAATTGGCTGTAAAATCTTAAGTTTTTACAACTACAGCGGCTGTTCCGATATTTTAAAATACGAGTATTTATAGTTATTTTGTTAAGATTCTATTGGAATTCGTAAACCGAGTGGTTTCGTGTCGTCCCTTTATTATTTCTCTTGACGGGGGTCGAATGTGTGCCACCTTGTCGTTCTCGAGAAGAGGGTTCTTTGGTGTTGTCCTGTATGTGACAACATTAAAGAACCCTCTCCTGTATGTACAGGACAACATCAAAGAACCCCCTTCTCGAGAACAAGGGGGCACACATTGGCCCCCCTCAAAAGAAATAATAAGAGGGACGACACGAACCCACTTGGTTTACGAATTCCCATAGAAACTTATCAAACTGACTACAATTGTTCTGAAGTATTGGAAGAGCCGCTGTAGTTGTAAAGACTTTAGATTTTACACCCAGTTGTATATTATTTATATTGTATGTATATATCTTAACTTTTAGAGCATGTACTGTAATAGTGGCTTCTAACTGTATTGGTGTAAAGGTGACCCTCTGAAGATGGTCTCTGAAGACCGAGACATGTAAGGGCATGAATAATTGAAATAAGAAAATTTTAACCAGTCACACTGAACGGAACGATTTAACTTTTCCATATAATACTTCGAGTTACACCTGCTAGTCAATTTGCAGAGCGGCATGACATGAGTCGGGATTGCCGAGTGGGCACGTATTTACGTATAAAGATATAAAATTGATGAACCGATAAAAATTAAATAATTACAAATAAGTGTCGAGTAATTATTTCAATAAAATAATAATAAAATTATTTAAAACGGTCCTCAAGAAAACGACAACAGGAGGAGTGGGAGGCACCTGGAAGCAAAGGGTCCCGACGTACTTTAAGATAGGACTTAGTTTTCCCCAGGCACATAGTTTTATGCTTATAAATAGTTAGTGCCTGGGGTATAGCTTCACCATTCTTGGCCTCGGCGCTAGACGGAGGTGAGTAGGCAATTTCACGACCCCGTTGTTTTACCCGCAAGGGTAATGCCCCCTGTGAGCATTGGACAGGAGGCTGGGTGGGTCTCAGAGCTAATCTGGACGTCGTGAAGAAGCGAAAAATTCCTTACCCCTGCAGGGAATCGAATCCGGCCGTCTAGCCTCGTAGCCTGTCGCTATATAGTCTAAACTATCATTTTTTTAATTCTCATGGAGGGGGTGAAGGTCGGGCGGGGGGTGGAGTCCAGCTGGGTCCACTCGGCACATCGGCCACTGATTGGCCTATTGTACCTGCCCCGGGTGATTATGATGGAGAATTTGGTGGAATGAAGATTGGCAGGGGAAACCGAAGTACTCGGAGAAAACCTGCCCCAGCGCCACTTTGTCCACCACAAATCCTATTTGACCAGACACGGGCTCGAACCTGGGCCACCGCGGTGGGAAGCCAGCGACTAACCACTTGAGCTATGGTGCGGCCTTTGCACTTTCCTTTAGTTCTCGGATTGTTACCTTAAATATCATTAATCAAATCAATGTAGAGGAATTTGCTTTAACTGTTTCAGAGCTAATACGGTCCTTGGTGATGCTGTTACTGCCCGCAATTCCGTCTGTCCACAATGGAAGTTTGAGACGTCTCTAACAGGAGTGACTGAGGAAGAATGGCCAACACGGCGCACCTTGTTCGCCGGCAGAGCTCACAGAACTTAAACCCACAGCGATCGCTGGACCGTCTGGAGATGAAGGAGCTCCGTGGGCGACTTGTCGTGGAGAACGGCAACTCTAACCTGTCCCACAACTATGGCGCCACCAATGTAGCTTTTGACGACACCAGTCCAAACACCAAGGTGGGACTGATTCTTGGTTTCTTCAGTAACCTCAGAGGCAGAAATTATACGTTTCTTACTGAATAATGAAATGGAAAGCCGTCATGGTCTAATTGAAGTCATCATCCTCATATTTGACTGGAGTGACTGAGAAAAACTACTTGAATACATGTTTATGTCCAATATAATTTACAATTTTGGGTAACAGAATTTGACTCTGTGGTCCTATGTTCCAGCACTCCGCTTAGAATTTAGTATTAGTGAAAAAGCATCATTATGAACGCTATGTTACTTCAATGTCGTCATTCTTGCAGACAGGGAAAGTCGGCGGCGGCAGTAAACTAGGTTCTGGCGAGGGTAAACAGGTGTTCAGGCCTGAAGGTGGCGAAGAAGAAAGAGAATCATGGGACAGCAAACTCACCTTCCTATTGGCTACCATTGGTTATGCAGTTGGTCTTGGCAATGTCTGGCGTTTCCCATATTTGGCCCAGAAGAATGGTGGTGGTGGGTACTACTTTATTGTTCCGCATCAAGAAAGATGTTTGTCATCAGTCTCCCTATGCTTTAGTCTCAGATGATACTGAAATGTCTTTAATGTCACAAATCTATCTGAATACTTACTTTCTGTGAACATTTTACAATGACATAATGTGGTGAGAGAATTGTCAAGAACTGTAAGCAGATAAGGATGTGCAGACAGCTTGTCATGTGTTGCTGAAACGTATTATCCCAGCTTTGACCTGAGGACAGTGGGAAAAACTAGGTATTGACTGTGCCAGAATTGAACAATACAAGTCTAGAGTATCACTGCATCAACAATGGTCTTGGTCCCTTTCAAATTTGGGGCCTGAAGGATTGTATGACTGTTCAGTTTTGTTACCTGTTAGTAAGAATGTCGTTGAAAAATGTTTCTACAAATGGCATTTTAAAAACACTAGCTTTTATCTTCGTTATATACTTATTTATTTGCCAGTATAGAGCAACAATAATGCCACTAGTTTAACCTCAAAGACTGATGTTACTTGATAATATATAAAGGTATTTAAAGTTGGAAAGAGCATTTCAAAACCAGGCAAACGCTCCAGATCAGTAAAGAAGTCAGGGGCAATGAATAATATATATATTAAAAAGAAATTATTATAGTACAGGCTTGCAGATTTTCTTCTATGCTCTTTGTTGCTGGGAATGATAGCTTTGATTTTTAAGGCACTGGAAATGGCTTACTTAAAATGAAGCATTCAGAAATAAGTATGTTGCATCTATCTGTATCTACCCCCATTCCCAGCCCAGAATATACTCGTATGAGGATCGAAGTTGTGTTATAAATTGTGTGGATTCACAAATTGTCACATAATGGGAGGCCTACAACTAATGGAAAGGACAGACATGCAAATAGGCATGATGCACCAGAAGCTACACCTTTTTCTGACAGGCACAAACATGAGCCATTTTTTTTCGATTTAAGTCATGAAAAAGATTCTTTTTCCAGGCTGAAATATTGTCTTTTTTATAATTTATAACAAAAACATTTCGGACCTGTGGACAGACATTTTATGTTCTTAAAATCCTAAAATGTTTATATTGCCAAATAAGAGAATAAACGTTTCTTTTCTGATTGCATTGTGAAATATGCATTCAAGAATGAAGACAACAGTGGAATAGTATTGAATTTCTCTTCTTCATAGGTGCATTTCTGATCCCATACTTCGTCATGTTGGCGATCGAGGGTATTCCCATCTTTTACCTGGAGTTAGCAATTGGTCAGCGACTGAGAAAAGGTGCCATTGGGGTATGGAATCAAGTCTCACCTTACCTTGGTGGTATTGGCATCAGTAGTGCTGTGGTATCCTTCAATGTGGCTCTGTACTACAATACCATCATAGCTTGGTGCCTCTTCTACTTCGTCCAGGTATCCATAACAGTTTCTTCAGACAAAAGTTAGACCAGTAACAGGCTGCTAACATCACTCTTAGATTGGTAAAGAACAGATTAAATTTAGGAAATATTTGTCCCTAGTTATTCATAGTAAGTATTTCTGACAGTTCCGGAGCTTATCTTCAGAAGGCAGTGTAGTTGTCCTTGCTTTCCCTTTCAGTATATACCAGTGTCAAATAGCAGTCAAAAAACCTAAATGAATGTTCAAAAGGCATAACATGCAAAGTTTCATTGTCATAATGAATAAAGTGAAAGTCTGTACACAGATAATTATATCTGAATTTGATAATAAAAAATGTAGAGATATGAAAATGAACATTATCGGTAACCTACAAATTAATTGATACAGAACATGGTGAAACAATGAAAGACTCAAGTAAATAATAACCTTTGAACTGAATATATTATTTACTTTATACATTGGTGTTACTCAATTACATTTTTATATATTAAATTGGAGGCAGTGATAGAAGCCAATCAGAATTAAGAATTACCTTCCTGGTAAGTTTTAGTAAGTTTCAAGTCTGTATAAAAATATTATAATTTTATTTGTTTTAATTCCTTTTGACTTTTTAAGCTAACGCTTGGGCTATTTTATCATTTTTTTTAATAATGCTATATTTTATGAGGATTTTAATTTCTGTGTTCTCTAATTTTGGTAGCACATGCATATCATTAATATCACAAACATTTTTATTATAATAACATGATTTTTCTTTGTATCTAATAATTTATTTTGCAATTCAATATCAAAGGCTTAGATTTGATTATGTCAAAAACTAGGTTGCTTTATATGCAAGAAAACTAACCGTCAAAATTGTAATTACAAAGATATCTGAGCCAGGTTTTAGACCATATTGTTACAGAATATAATGCCAGCCTACGAAACAAAGTTTTTGAGCAACAAGATTAGCAGGAACTTCAATTTTCTCATGTTTAAACTTCTGTAACTTTTCTTGCTGCATGGCACTACTGAATTTTAAACATGGAAAGAAGCATTTGCTGATGCAAATAAGGAACATACTCATAGAGCTTCTGCTGTGTTGTAACTCCATGTGGTTTTTGTAAAATTCCACCAACTCTTTGGAAGAACATTGCCCCCATCTTCATGGTCAAAGAGCAAACCGAGTAAAAGACCAGTAAGAAGGAGGCAACAAGCATAGCTGACTTACTCTTCAGTCCTGAAGATGGAAATGAGATATTTCTCCAAATTGTCAGTGGACTTCTACCACATGACAAGGCTTCACATCTCAGTGACATTAGTCTTCATGATCACCATTGTGAGAACCTCAAATAGAACACAGAAGCAAACTTTAAATACTGAGAATCACATAATACTGAGAATATTACTTGATTTCACTAATTTATTATTTTGTTACTGATGTCTTTTGCAATTAATAAAACCCATAATCTATATGCTCAGTATTATTAAGAGAAAATAGGACATAATTAATGATTTTAAACATCTTCTGCTTCAGAGTTTCCAGTCTGAACTGCCATGGGCATCATGCCCTAACAGGTACCATGCCAATGGATCATATACTGTGGAACCAGAGTGTGTGGTAAGTGTTATTTACTTAAAGTAATTAGTTTTAAAACATCTCTCATAAAAGTTCAATGGTAGGGACATTTATAGTTGAGCTGACCAAAGAATTCTCATAGATGGTGGGGATAAGTGTTGGCAGAGGGGAGGGCCTGTTCCCCCACTCCACCATCCTAACCTGCCTACTGATGCCCCTTGCCTAATGCTGTAGAACTAGTAATCCAGCCAAAGAAAGGGAAGAGTGGGGGTAGAGTAAGAGGGGAATAAGAAGGGAGAGTAGCGAGAGAGTGGAGGATGATATGTGAGAATTCTTTGCCTGTCTGTGGTACAGTTTCTGTTCAAGAAGAATCGAAACTAGCTTTAAAGTTACTTTATGATATTGTAACGTGTTTCTGGTGCTGATCCCACTTCTGACACCAGTGTAACGTGTTTCTCGTTACCGAAGACCCCGTAGAGACGGTTAATTGGTTTATTTAACAATCTACAAATAACGGCTACAATTAATTATCACACAGTTGCGGGGTTTCACACTTTATAACCCTAATCGCATTAATCTGTCGACACTGTTGCGGGGTTTCACGATTTCTAACCCTATGCGCAAATCAGCTCACTCTGTCTTCAGTAGTATACACGTTGACAGTAGGGGAGCTGGTATCACTGTATCACACGCTCCCAATTACACAATTTCACACACGTCCGGATCTTCTTTCCGCGACGGCTGCTATACTCCAACTTGTAGTCGGCTGGCTGTTACTTTATAACTCGGAATGTCTTCGGCGGTAGCCACACTGGAACTCGAACTCGAACTGATCGATACGCACTGTGCATCCACTTATATAGCTGCAGTGCTTGCCTGTGGCGTAATGAGTGCCACGTCACAGTAGGACGTTGATTACGGTTACGTTAGCGTTGCGCGTTACGTCACCGCG